TAAAGAGGCTATCTTTCCTCCAGTGAGGGTGTTTGGCTCCTTTGTCAAAGATGAGGTGGCTGAGTGTGTCTGGAGTTGTTTCTTCATCTTCTAATCTGTTCCACTGGTCCTCAGGTCTGTTTTTTTTTGCCAGTATCATGCTGTTTTTATAGCAGTAGCTTTGTAGTATAGTTTCAAGTTGGGGGTTGTGATACTCCCTGCCATATCTCTGTTGCCTAGAATTGCTTTTACTATTCTAGGTCTCTTCTTGTTCCAAATGAATTTTTCAGTTGTCTTCTTCCTTCTTGAGTTAATTTATTTTTATTCTCTAGTCCAGGAGAATTAATAATCAGTCCCCCTTGTAATAGAGAGTTACTGTATTCTGTGATTTTTTTTTTTCGATAAATGAAAAGAACAGTACGGTATTTACCATCATTTGTGATTGCTTAGCCTTAATATGGTCCAGTGCAGGAAGCTTGCTGGTTCAATTAGGAGCTGCAGCCACAGACTAGCCTGGGATTTTTCCATTCTTTTTTTCAGGTTATCAAGCCAAAGAAAAAAATATTTGGTGTTACATTGCCAGCAGAATTATAAACACTATTAATTACTTAGAGACCTGCAAATTAATGATTAATTTCACATTCAATTTGAAGTTAATTTGATGTTTCAGAGAAAAAATATTCAAATCAGTGTAATATTTCATCAAATACCTATGTATTTGTACATTATGTACAAACTACGTCCTGTAGTTTCATTATTAGAAGTTCAATTTTTTTCCATAAGTTAGGAACTTTTAAAATTTTAAAGCATATTTTGTAAGTTTTTAAACTAAGCATTTTTTTGCATGAATATTCATAGCAGCCTTATTTATAATAGCCAAAGACAGAAATACTGAAGATGTCTTATAATAGATGAATGAGTAAATAGAACACAATATAGCCATCCAATGGGATGTTAAGGATAAAAGAAATGAGCTATCAAGCAATAAAAATTCATAGAGTAACCCTAAGTACATGCTACTAAATAAAATAAGCCAATCTGTAAAGACAACATATAGTGAATTCAACTGTATGACACTGTGAAAAGGCAGAAATCATGCCGCCATTGAAAAGGTTAGTTTAATTTTGAGATTTCCATTTTTGTAAAAACTGGCCTTTCCTTTTTTTCAACGTGGTACATTACAAGTTTTATTGTTTTTCTCTTTTCCTCCTTATTTTTAGATCTACCCTTCTGTGGAAAATGTGCGGACCAGCTTAGAAGGATATCCAGGTGATTGTTGGGGAAACCGTTTTACTTGTGGTTTCTGTGTTGATTCCATAAGTTCCCTGGTAGAATTTTTACCAGTATTAAAATTTGCTAGAAAGCATTGGTTAGAAATGTGGAGATGGCTTTCTCTTCATTGGACAGGGAACATGAAAATAGGCAATGCTGAGCTTTGCTGTGTTCTGAAGATGGAATGACTCTATTAGGCAACCAGAGTATGACATTCAATCTTTACAGTAACCTTGTGCATAATTATTCTCATTTTTACCAGTAAGATATCCAATGGGTGGGTCAGTTATCCAGACAGGATGTCCAAATAAAATCATCTTCCCCTTGGATGTGGAGCCTTCCCAGAACATGTCTAACATAACTTTAAATCCTTGAAATTTGAATACCTGATACAGGTGTATTCAAGTTCTGGAGTTTATGCTTATTACCTTTGGTATAACTTGGTTGATGTGTACACTCTTTTAAGGGCTTTCTCTGCAAATACCTTAGTAGTATTTTATAAATATTGATCAGCTCTTTTCTTCATTTCCATTATCCCAGTACTTAGTGCTAAACTTGTATGTGGAATTCATAGCACTGTTTATAGTGCCGTCGTGAAGTATTAGGCAAAAACCCAGGGAGTATCTGCCTCTGGAAAAAGCAAAGTAATTGGTATTCACTGATGGCTGAGAGGAGAGTGCACTGAATTAAGACTAATTTAGTCCACTTATTGTTTATCAAACTAGATGTGACCTTGCTAGGAAAAAAATCTCAAAATTCAGAATGTCTCAGCCCATTTGCTCCTTTTTAATGACAACACTAAAATTATTTCACTGTAACTCTGGGACATGATGGTTTTTCTTCTTTCATCTTTCTGGACCTCTAATATGCTAGATTCATTCAAAGTGTACTTTTAATGAAGAAGGGCCTGGTCTTTTCAATAAAGCTATTTTATAACTGGTTCTAAATTTGCAGTAGGAGTCAGGGCGTTGCCCTATTCGATGTCAGAGTTGCTTAAAGCTCTCTTTGAATATAGATTACTTTGGAGAAGTTCCAGTGTGTGTTTGGAAAGTTACTGATGAATCTACAGTGTAGTCTTCTTCCTCTCAAAGATGAACAAAAACTGGCTTCTGATTGTATTTCCACTTTGGAACATTAAAACATTTAAATGTTTCGTATCCCTAAGAAAGGAAACTCCATTAAGAAAAACTACCTAACACAAGTATAGACGCTTTCTTTCAAGTAACTATTCCATAATATGAAATAATGGAAATAGTTGCTTTTCATTTACCTTCTCACTGTCTATTATAAATTTTCTTCTTAATGAGAAAGCTTCAAATTATGTTTCATTGTTTTTATTTATTTGTTTTATTTTTCTTTTAAAAGCTGGGGGCTCTCTTCCCTATAGTATCCAGACAGCTGAGAAACAGAATTGGCTACATTCCTACTTTCAGTAAGTAATTGATTTAGAATGCTGCTATTACTTCTTTAGAAAGAAGAATGTTATGTCAGTCTGCTTTTTTAAAAAAAGAACCTTACATAATATAGCTATATCCTTTCATCTACATATGTTAGTGATAGAAATAATTTAAAACGAGGTTTTCAATTTTTTTTTGGAATAGATTTTTAATACCAGAGAGTAAAATTTATCTCCGTAAGGTTTCTATTTAAATATTGGCATGCAAAGAAAAAGATAAATAAAAGATCATGTTGGATGGTTTCTAATTTTCATAACCATTTTAGTTCACTTTTCTAAAATATAGAATATTACTATTCTGGGCTGGGGATTTAGCTCAGTGGTTCTGCCGCCTGCCTCACAAGCGCAAGGTCCCGAGTTCAAAACCTGGTACCAAAAAAAAAAAAAAGAATATTACTATTCTATGTGATGATAAGATGTGTGGCTTAAAGCTTGCTAAGGACAGAGCCCATGCCACTGTCCCAGGATGTAGGACAGTCTTCAGTAGGTCTTCAGACTTCAGTAAATGGTTAATGAAGGGGGAAGGTAAAGGGATAGACCAGTCTAGTCTCATGCCTGCTTCACAGGTACCTGTCCTGCTGGGCAACCAGAACCAAAGGCAGAATTGCACTTCAGTAGATCACAGCTGCAATTCAGTGTGTCAGGCTGGAGCCTTTCCCTGGTATGGGGAGACCATTTCTTTATGTTGAGCAGCTTTCAGTATCACATGGCTAAATTCACTTGAATGAAGCAAGTGGCAGACCTACCTAATCCTGATTCTGTTTTTCCAAACCAGTTATTTTGAGAGACCATCCTCTTCAATTCGTAACTAAAGAGCTGGGGACATAGCTCAGTGGTAGAGCACTTAACTAGCACATGTGAGGCCCTGGGTTCAATCCTTAGTATGGCGATAAATAATGAATTAATTAATTTAAAAATTTGTAATCGTACATGCTTATAGCACATGATGATTGCATTCATCGTGGGGAGTTGGTACATCTACACAGCACATCCTAATTCTTTTTTACATCTCCTTGCCACTCCCTTGATCTCTCAGTCCCCTTCCCATTTGCAGAAGATCTATCTGATTATTATAAAATCATAATTAAGAATCATCGCTTTATCCCCCTTTATAGCCGTAGAACCTTAAGCCTACATTGTTGGAAACTTAGAAACCAAACTCAAAGCCAAATGAAAGAAAAAAAATAAAAATAAAACTCAAAGCTAAAACTAAAGCACTTCTCAGTTATCCCTTTGCTTTTCAACACTCATTTGTGATTTTGCCCTCTTTGTTTTTGTTTCATTCAACAAGGTTTTCCGGAGCCTGTGCTAATTAGTGCACTGTGGCACCATGGTGTGCCTTCAGGAGCCCACAGGCCTGCAGCAGGCACATGCACACATGGAGATAAAAGCATGACAGAAATACAGACATGCGTGTGTGCGTTTGTGAGGGAAAAGACCAGAGTACTATTTGTGGGTAGTGGCAAATTTTCTACATACCTACCTTCTAAAATGAGCATGTGTTATTCCGTTATCTAAACAGATTTTAATAAACTATCAGGTACCTACTATTTTTGTAGGTTGTTTTTTTTTTTCAGTACTGGGAATTGAAGCCAAAGCCTTCTCACTGAGCTACATCCCCAGTCCAGACTGTATTATTTTGAGATGGTCTCACTAAGTTGCTGACTCGCCCAGGCTGGGCTTTAACCTTCAATCTTCCTGCGTTGGCCTCCCAGAGGGCTAAGTTCCAGGCATTCACCACCATGCCTAGCTATACTGGTTTTTAGATTATAGGATTTTGCTTTTCATGTAATTTCCTAATTATTAGGATTGTGACTAATTTCTATTATCTTCTAACCTGTGACTTCTGTCCCTCCTGCCACTAGCAAGTGGTCGGCTGATACGTCTGGCCGCAGCAATGCCATGCCGCACATCAAGACTTACATGAGGCTCTCTCCAAACTCCAGCAGAATCGCCTGGTTCCTTGTCACAAGGTAATGGTTTCCATATTTTTGACAGGAGGGATTTTTAAAATGTGTTTGCAACCCTTGCTCTGAATTTTGAATGGATTTCTAAAAAGTAGCTTGTGGCTCGACTGTCGTTAGTTCTCAGCCTGTTTGTGTCCCATGAGCCTCATCTAAAGGAGGCCTTGACCAACCCGTATAGAAAGTGCGCGACATCACCTGGTTTTTCTTGTAAGTCTAGATATCGATAAGACTTGCACACACTTTCCATTTACTTCTGTTATTTTATATTTCAAACAACAAGATTAAGCATATTGACATTTAGAATAAATACAGAAGACAAGTGGAATATTAGTATTTTTTCCTGCGTTAGTTTCTTGTTGGGTAGAGCAACCATATCTCTGTGTGTCCTTTTTAAAAACACCTTTATTAAGATACAAGTCACATACCATTAAATTTACCCATTTAAAAATCTACTATTTAATACTTTAGTACATTCACAGAATTGTGTGCAAATGTCATCATTTAACTTTATTTCTTTATTTTGGTTATTTGAGACAGGCTCTCACCCTGTAGTTCAGGCTGGCTTTGAACTCACTGTGTAGCCCAGCCTGGCCTTGAACTCTCAGTGATCCTCCTGCCTCAGCCTCCTTAGTACTGGGATTATAGGTGTGCGCTACCACACCTGGCACCATCATTTAACTTTAGAATATTTTTATCATTCCTATAAGAAACCCCCAACCCACTGTCATTTTTGTGTCTATTTGTGTAAGAAGATAAATTGCTTTTTCTTTGAACCTTAGTTCCTGATTCCTAGTCTGAACTCAACCACTGAGCATTTCTTCATGATTCAATAACATAATTGAAACTGGACGTGGTGGCTCACGCCTGTAATCCTAGCACTCAGGAGGGTGACCTTGAACTCATCACTTACCCAAGGCTGGCCTCGAACTTGTAGTGATCCTCCTGCCTCAGCCTCCAGAGTGCTAGGATTACAGGCGTGCAAAAACTTTTGCTTCTAAAGAGAGATGTTTCCTGCATGTGAAGGCCTGAACTGTAGATTCCCTGGATAAGGAATTTGTTGCCTGAAGCAGATACAAAGTATCCAGGATGACTATAAATATTCCTAAAATGAAGAGAAATTAAGTCTTAATGCCAGTGCCATCCAGCCTTCTACTAAATTAACCCAACAAGAATATGAGGAGCCTAGACAATCTGAGACCACATTTCAAAATCAGCTCAATCATCTGAAAATGATTGTCTTTTTAAACCATGTTACTAAATTCCAAGTAAACGGAAAACAGACAAAATGACTGGCTTCTAAGGTAGTCTATATGTGGCCTTCACTGACCATATACTCTGATAAGTTAATAGGACAATGTGAAATAACCTGCTGCTTCAAATCTAAAATCCTTCGGATGCATTTTCTGAGTAGTAAATTATCATACACCCCAAGACCTTGTTGTCTGTTTTGTGTCAGTACTTTAAATGAAGTGACTTCTTTCTCGATTGGATATGACAGCATTTTCTAACAATTTGGGTCATCTCTTACTTTGTTTATGCTAGTCAAGGCTTTTATTAAAAACCAGATCACTTGCATAAATGTTGAACTGAATTTGAAGACTGTACTTCCAACTTTAAAATCCTCTTACCTATTAACTTAGCTATCTGGTTTTTCCCAGAACGAAATAAGCAAATAGAGAAATATTAATTATTTGGTAAAAATGTCTTGCTTAGCACCCTGTGTTTTCCTACCAGAAATACTGGAGCCCAAGGACATGAAATGAAGTATCTAAGACCACACAGAGAGGGTGACTGGAAAGTTTCATTTTTGTTGAGGGTACAGGGTAGACCTTTTCTCCCGGATGTAAATGGGTATCTGAGTCCTTTCTGTGAATTCTCACTGCTGGTCTCTGGAGTTTGTTAAAGATGGAAAGCCTGGTACTTGGGTTCTGAAGATAAAGAAGAAAGCCTATTTGGAAGGACCGACAATTCTCTTATACTTCTGTTTTGTTCAAGATTTTCCAGAGAAACAACAACAAAGTGTGTGTGTGTGTCCTGTTGAAGAGAGGGGAGACTTATTCTAAGGAATTGACTCATATTATTGTGGGGACTCCCCAGTCCAAAATCCATAGGGTTTGAAAGCTTGGATTTGTTAGAAGCTTGAATATGTTTGCAAGGCTTGATGCTACAGTCTTGAATCTCTTTCTCCAGTATTGGAAAAGTTGAATATAATGTATTGAAAGGTTGTTTTCCCTCAAACTAGAGTAGAAAAAAAATTGGATGCAATTCACAGGAACTGTATAAGTATTATTGATTAAAGGCATTAATGGAAACTGAGATTAGAGTAGCAATGTGAATAATCCTTTTCTAAAGGCAACATTTCTGTAGTTGTATTTAGGGACAGCTTGGTGCTTGGCCTGGGGTCACAAAGAGCGGGCATGAACCCTGCCATCCACATTACACTTGGCCTGGCTGTGATGCAGAGTAAGGACCATAGGGAAAGCCCTGCTATAGAGGTCCTTTCCTAGTTGGGGCAGGGGCAAGTGGGCAAGAGATGAGCCAAACCCGAATAAGCAGTAGGTATCCTGGCGGGCCCGGAAGGTGCTGAGGAACAAACCTGATGGACTGATGGGGATCCAGGCAGAGAAGCTAACAAGGACAAAAGTGGCATGGTAGGGGGGAGCAATGCATAACATTTCTGAAGGGAAAGCTGAGTGATTCTGTGCAGATAGATTTTTTAAAAATAAAGATGATTCAGAAAGCTTCAGAATGGATTTTCTGAAATAAGAGTACATGAGTTCTTACAGTTAAGTCAAAGAACAACCATTTTTAGTTTGTCACTTGAGGTCTATTGGTGGTTTTACACTGTGTGAATGCCTGCTTTAATATCACCTGGCCACTGCTAAATTAAATTAATTATAACTATTCCAAGTTCATTCATTTTAAGAATTTGAAATTTGTCATTATAGAGCTGCCACTTCTAATTTTATTCCGGAATAACTCTAAACTATCTATTTGCCAAAGTTGTTTTAAAGAATAATAGCAACAACTTTCATTGGGTGATTGCGATATGCCAGGCGCGATCCTAAGCATTTTATGTGAATTCCTTCATTCAGTTCTCATAGTGGCTTTGCAGGGTCTCAGAGGCACAGGGCGAGACGTTGTCACACAGGTGGTTTTGGTGGAGCCCAGAAGTGACCTGAAGAATTGGGCCCCACAGCCGGCCCTTCTCACTCTACGGTCCATACGCTCTTAATTAAAATAGAGTTGCAGCGTGGCTGCTTTCTGCAAAGATCAGTTAAGCCAGAAGAAACTGTACTAAAATGCACAGAGCATTCCAGAATCATTAAAAGATTCTTAAGAGATATAAATAACAACTCAGAAAACCTCTCAGAATCCATTCTGTCAGCCCTTCCATTCGAGGGAAAGTATAGATCCCAAGTATAAGTGATGTCTACCAATAAGTAACTCCTTTGACCCTTTTTTGTCACCTTATCTCAAAGTCAGAGCTTTCCTAATCTGAGCTCATCTTGTATATAAGTTTGTTTTTTCCCTCCAGCATCATTCTTTGCCCTGCGGCACCTGCCTAATCTTGTCACCAGGCTCAAAACCCAGATGTCTCCTTTTACTTTTCCTTCCTTAGAGCATTCTACTCGTATAGCACTTACTGTGGTTCTCCTGTGGGTAACAAGCCCTCAGGAAAACAGGAAGATACAGTTGTTGCCTTTGTGACCCTCACAGTCTCAGACATGAGAAGCCAGACAAAGAGATCGCTGCGATTGTGAAATATCACTTCCGTGCTTGAGATGGGCACATGGGTGCTTTGGAAATGGCTATGCAAGCCATGAAGGGCCTCAGATTTGTTGTTTCTAATCCCAGCAATTTCAGGTCAGAAATTTATCACTTGGGCTTCAGAAATGATCTCCTCTCTGCCATCCCAACACATGGTCTTCCTCTTCCCAGCAGCCTCTCCTAGTGGCCCATTCCCATTCATCTTTCTGAAACCCAGATTTTCCTCATTGCCCAGTGTTCGGAACCCCCACATTATAGAGCCAGCCTGTAAAGTTCAGATTCCTGAGTTTGGCGTTCGTATCCCAGCCACGCCATTTCCATATTCTTACCGGTAATTCCCAAAGTGAACTTCCAGAAGCACCAAGCTGGCCTTCTTCATCCCTGAATCATCCTCCGAGCAGCCTATATGGTTCCCTCTCCTGATCCCTCCATCATTTCTCTCTACTGCTGAGAGCCATGCTCAGGCTCATCTCTCCCTGGAGGCTCTTCCAGCCTCTGCTGCTCCCCTTTCCCCAAGGTCCTTACTATACTTGTAGCTCTCCACAAGCCTAGGAGCCTGGAGCTTCTGTCTCACTACTGTGTCTGATCTTGTGGAGAATGAGCATGAGCTTTGGCGTTTTCAGACAGTCTGGGTGAGGTGAGCATGTCTACCACTGAACAGTGTTTTGCCTTGGACAGGTTTGTTCTCTTAGCCTCAGACTCCTCATCTGCACAGCAGCTGTGAGGATGTCAGGTGCCTAGCATGGTGACTTGACCATGGACTAATAAAAGCCTCCACAATTACAAGCTCAGTATGATAAATCACATTGATAGAGCATAGAGAAAGCTGGAAGTGGAAGAATAAAATCTCAGCACAAGGTTCCTCGTGACAATGTCATATAACTACTCCATATTAACCACTTGCCTGTCCATTGCTTCTCCAGACACAGCTCCTCTGTTTGAGTGATCTTGCTGTGGTCTGAATATGTCCCCCAAGGTTCATTTGTTGGAAACTTAATCCTCAAAGCAACAGTGTTGAGAGGTGGGGCCTTGAACAGTGCTTTGGATTAATGCCATTACAGAGGTGTGTTAATTGTCACGGAGTGAGTTCTTCATAAAAGGGTAATTCTGACCCCCTTCTTTGCCCTCCCCCTATCTCAGGTATTGTGCTTTAGTAACACAAAAGGGACTAAGACATGTCTCTTCTCTGCCCCATCATACTTCCTCCATGGCAGTGCCTTTGTTTATGATGCTCT